CCCCCCCCCTCCCACCCCACACGGCCTCCCGCAGCCGGTGGGAAACGTGCAGCAGAGCCTGCTGCCAACTTGCTTTTAGTTCATGTCAGAAAGAGGCATCGAGGACATGTATCAGTAGCCTTTGCAGTTCATCCAACAAGGGGACAAAGCCTCAGGGCCACGGCAGCCACGCTGGAAGCCCCGCGGCAGCAGGCCCACCCTAGGGCCCTCCACCAGCACCAGCTTTCTCACCCACCCTTCACCCATCCTGTTCCTTTTTTCCCCAGAGCCTGAGCTAACCTCCTTGGAGCTGATGGAGGCAAGGTGCTTGTTGGGGGGTGTAGGGGTGAGGCAATTAGGGAGTTTTGTACTAGGACCAGCCCTTCTGTCCAGTCTGCAGGAATTAAAAGCATCATGAGGTTTAGGAAGTAGCTGGAAGATATGGAGGGGAAGAATCACTCTAAATTTGTCCTGTTTCTTGTGCTGTCTTCCCCTAGACTCTGCTCTGGGCTGATGGAGAATGATTGACTCATGGGTCAGGGCAATCCCAAGCACAAATACAGGCTGGGTGGAGAATGGATTGAGAGCAGCCCTGAGGAGAAGGACTTGGGGGTGCTGGTTGATGAGAAGCCCAACATGACCCAGCAGTGTGTGCCTTGCAGGCCAGAAAGCCAACCGTACCCTGGGCTGCAGTAAAAGCAGTGTGACCAGCAGGTCGAGGGAGGGGATTCTGCCCCTCTACTCTGCTCTGGTGAGACCTTTCCTGCAGTACTGCCTTCAGCTCTGGAGTCCTCAACACAAGAAGGACCTGGACCTGTTGGAGCGAGTCCAGAGGAGGGCCATGAATGTGATCAGAGGGCTGGAGCACCTCTCCTGTGAAGACAGGCTGAGAGAGTTGGGGTTGTTCAGCCTGGAGAAGAGAAGGCTCCGTGGGGACCTTACAGCAGCCTTCCAGTACCTAAAGGGGCCTACAAGAAAGCTGGGGAGGGACTTTGTAAAAAGGTATGTAGTGATAGGACAAGGGGCAATGGCTTTAAACTGGAAGAGGGAAGATTTAGATCAGATATAAGGAAGAAATTCTTCACCATGAGGGTGGTGAGGCACTGGAAGAGGTTGCCCAGAGAAGCTGTGGATGCCCCTTCCCTGGAAGTGTTCAAGAACAAGTTGGATGAGTCTTGGAGTAACCTTGTCTAGTGGAAGGTGTCCCTGCCCATGGTAGGGGGGGCTGGAACTTGATGGTCTTTAAGGTTCCTTCCAACCAAACCATTCTATGATTCTATGACTAGCCAGACCTTCAGTTCTAACCTGCCTTGGCACCCTTTCCACCTGTCTTATGAATGAGATGTCCACAATATCCATTATTAAATATCAAATCACATAACATGGGCACCAAATATCCAGCATCTATCTCCCAGGCTGGGAATACATTTGTCACTGTGAACCAAAATTCATTTCACAGTGGCAGCAAGGAAGAGGATGACAAGGAATCAAGAGTGAAGAAGCAAAGGAAAAATGTTTAAAGCAACTTTCAACTCCTGTGATGATGAAGAAAAACAACTGACAATATGGGTGCCCATCACCTGGGCAGGAACACCCTTGCCCCACGAGATGATACTAACACAGACCCCAGTGCCCTCACACCTTCTCCCTTAGGATTCTGATCCTACTTGGCTTTTTAAGGTATTGTTTCTTACATTGCTTCTTTTGGTAAATTGACTTTGTTCCCAGCTTGTTTCGTGGTTAGCAGCAGAATCAGCTTCATCTTGTGAGGAAAGCGAGTGATGGAAGCTCTGCGGCTGCTGGCAACACCACAACAGCACTGCCAGCACCTAGGAGCTTTCTTTTGCCCTTCGGCTGCCCACCTCTGAGTTACGCAGTCCCACCTGCTATTCAGAAGTAGATTAAGCCTTCCTGAAAATGAATACGTTTAACAGAGTACAAAATTACTTTGAATCTGGCCTGGTCCAGGACACCCTACAACCTGGGTCCTTTTGCCAAGCTTCCGGCAACTGATCATCTAGGTCAAAGGAGCTCCAGGGAATGCTTAATCCTGTGCCAGACATGAGGTGAGCAAGCACATACCCTTTACATGCTGAGGTTTTAGTAGGTATGTGTGTATGGGGGAAACAACACTGTATAGACATCTGTTCCCCTTTCATGCTTGAAAGGAAAACCCTCCCTTTTCGGCACTGAAGCTTTAACTTCAAATGCCAATTTGCTATCTTTTTTTAGTGAAGACAATAGCAAGAAACTTCTCAGCACAGGTAGTTTATCCCCAGAACAAAGGCAATTTCAGAACTGTCCAGGAATTTGAAAGCTCTGGGTAGAAGGGAGTTTCTATTTATATCCTGCTGGGTGAGGTGTATATACCTGCATTTTCTATTGCTGTTCTATTGAGCAAGGTGTATATACCTGAGAGGGAACAAGCATACATGCAGGTCAGCTCAGAAGGGAGGAAGCTCCTGCACAGGTGACAGAATCACAGTTGTGGTGCTCTATCAGCTCTTGAGAGGGCTACACGGAGCTCTGCTCTTCTGCCACTTGCTCTTGACAATTGCCACAAGTAAGGGCTGAGATTGGCTAGGTCAGTCCTAACCCAAAAGATCAAATCTGATCTGAAACACAGGAGCCCACAGCCAGGTCAGCTCAGTTGAGCACTCTTCTCTGTTTCTGGGACTGTCAGACACAGGAAGGTGATTACTGACTTCTGACTATTGGAAAAGAAAAACGTGCCATAGAGCTGAGGTGCTTTCTTGTCCTGACTTACTAAATGCCTGTTGCCTGTCCCAGTTTCTTCATCTGTGATGACAGCAGACTGTGCTAGGGTCTGCTGATCACACCTGTCCCATTTTCTGCTTTTCTAGGGTCATAAACAATTGTGATTACCAAATAACTCCATCTGGTTCCTCTGTTAGCTTAAGCATCCTGTTGATGAATCACAAAAGGTCATGACAGGCAAGACCTCTACAGTTAAAAATTCCAACTCCCTCTGCTAGAAGAGATGCTGGCACGGTGGTGAGGCTCTCCTCGTACACACACGGCTTGCCTTCTGGCCAGTTACATCTCCTCGATGCAGGATGCTACATCTTGACTTTACAGCTCCTCTGTGTGGCTACACCTGCTTTCACAGCGGGACCTATTAGCACCAACCAGCCCCCCTTGCAGAGATCCGAAAGCATGCCACCTTTAGGCACAGGAATGCAGCCTCCTGCTCCCAGAGGAAATAAAGACAAAATCCTGGCCAAAGAGGGAACCATAAGAACAGAGCTAAGGTTATGACTTTTGGTCTGTATTTGATGTCTGGATAATAAGGTGACCAGTCTCGTACAGAAACCTAAGGCAAGTTAAACAACACAGAGGAAAATAGTGGTTTTCCTGAACTGCAGGACAGAGGATGTGCAGAGCCTCACCTCTCGCACCCTCTGTGGCTGAGGATTTCATGCAATATCTCTTCCTAAACCCTTCAGAGCTCAGATTTAAGTATGGTTGATAACAGCTGTGCTGCTTTTTTGTTTCTAAAAAGAATGATTTTCCCTTTGTACTGTTTGCATTTTGTCATGCTGCTTTAGTTCACTCACTCTTTTCCTGAGTTTGGTAAAGAAGCTGGTGTGAAAACAAGAATGGAAAAAAAGAAAATTATCAAAGACTTTTTATATATATATATATATATGAGGGAGAGATTTTTCAAAGGCAGAAAGGGGAGTCTATCAGGTTATGCACCTAAGTAACATTTATGCCCTTGAAAATCTTTCGCTTACAGTGCTTAATTGGTCTGTGCAAATCCATCGCCAGAAGAGGTAATTGACCATTTTTACAGAAGGATCAGTTACAAAAACACTCCAGGCTATTGTTCTAGAAATTAAAAAAAATCAGAAATTATGGAAAGAATATGTTTCAGGGCATCAGCCAGCCTCTCTTGAAACTACACAAATTCACTTGGTGAAAACAACAGCAGACACAATGAAATGAGTTGTATATGAAGAACTGAGATCTCAAATGTGATATTATGCAGAAGGTAAAGAGTCTGTACTAGATAAGTAACAGCTCAATGTGTTACCAAGGGTGCACTTTGATTTTGATGAATGTTAAAAGAACCTTTAGCCTTGAAAATAAAGAGGATAATTTCTCTCTAGGCAATGGCTGCTCATGAAAGCCATAAAATAAGAGCACTGGAGCCCTAATTTTATAGTGCTTTTTAAATGATTTTCAAATGGTCCAGCTGCTTTGTGCCACAATAACACAAGGCAGAGATATTTACGCCGGCAATAATAAGCATGCATCAGCCTGCCCGAGCTCCTCTCCGCAGGCAGCCCGCGTTAGGCAAAACACACATGGAAAGCTGATACTTGCCAATGCGGATTGATCACAATTACACCATGGCTAGAGCAATCCTGGGAAGTTGCTTTTTCCACCAGATAACTTGATTGTTTTTCTTGTCTGTGTCTCGCCTGCAAAGCATGGGATGTACACGGCTGGCAATGGTGATTCTATTTTGACACTTGAGAGCCTGCCAGCTCTGTGTGCCTCTTAGGCTGTACCGTCCTTGGCAGACTTCTCTTTTCAGAAATAGGAGGGCAAATTCAGCCCTGGGTTGCACCACTGGTTTTTGGTGGGAGTTTCCCCAAGGATTAATTTGGCCCTAGTGCTGGTGTTCCGATGTTGCACAGCGTTATCTTGCAAAGAAAGGCATGCATGCGGCAAATGAGCTCTGGGCAAGTGCTACGTAGTTCTGCTGAAACGCTGGAATTGCCACCAGCAACTTTCCCCAGGTATTTTATCTCTGCTTGTCTAGGACTTCAGTCTAAAACTACAATTTGTTTTCCAGGACCTGCTCTAAGATGAGAACTACCCCAGGGTAGTCTAGCTTAGCTTGCCAATTTGGGTAGTCATTTCAAAAGTCTGATTAGTATTTTATCTTTGCAGTCACCTTTCCTTTGTGAGACATTGAGAGAAGACAGTGTACTTGGAGAAACCTGTCTTCTGAGCAAGCAGAGTAGGGTTGAAAGACCAGTTCCTTTATGAAATATTCCTGTAAAATTAAAGAACTTGGCTCTTTCTGTGCTCACTAGTGCTAGAGACACAGCAATGTTTGCATAAAAAGAATTTTGGTAGGAATGGAAAATTCTGAGCATGAAAGAAAGCTAATTTATGGCTGAAAATTTATTAAATTTGCTGTAAATCTTAGGTCCATAAAGCTAAGACAGGGCTGGGCAGAGGGCATGGCAGAAGGAAGGTACCTCCGGAAGGTCCCTGGCCATTGACCATCTGTTGTCACCAGAGTGGGAACATTCTGGTCCCCATCTGGGTGACTTCTTGTACATGTTGGACTACAACACTTTTTTGCCCCTTTTCATTTGCTGATTCCAATGCAGCAAAACAGGTTAGTATCTTTTTATGTCCAGGGATCTCCTTAAGAGCTTTAACTTTAAACAGGGGCCTATTTTCTCTTGGAGTTGAGTTTTATGAGTTTTAATGAGCAGAACGGACAACAAACCGGGAATGTATCTTAGATGAGTATCTAGCACATTTGTGGCCGCCATTTAACCAAATGATTGAGGAGTGACTGGAGCATATGAAATTCAGAAACCTTCTGCCCCCTAAACAGAGAGGAAAGATAGGTTTGATGCCAAAGCTTTAGGTCAGGTTCCTTTCATGTTTATGTCATATACAGATAGTCTGTCTGATGTTTCTCCCTGTCACTTTGATCTTTTTTTTATTTCATATGAGTTTAGAGTTTACATAGGTGTATAGTGTATCTCAGCTCAATACGAAAATCCTGCAGCCTGATGCAATTGCTCGCTACTGGATAACTCTTTGGATAGCATTGCCTAGTGGGAAGTGACAGAAGATCACAAGGTAAGCCAGCACAAGGGAAGCAGATCTGCTTTTTCTTAGAATACAGTGAACAAAGATTTTCCCTATAAAATAGAAATGAATCTGTGTAGCACTGTTCCAGGCTGTACAGAATAGTGCTATGGCCACCGATTGTGTAAGTTCATACTTCTGCCTCACTTGCATCTCATCTCATCTCATCTCTGAGAGATCCAATTTACGGCAGCTGAGATAAAGTAGCCTCCAGGGTATTACATTAATTCCTTTCATAAATCAAGAACCAGTTTTTGTTACTAGAGATCTGAGTCCAGAACTAGAGGAAAACACATGGCATTAGGCTTTGTAAATGGCCAATTGGCCTGTCTCTATGATAGCTCTTTGCAGCTTTTGGCTGTTTCTCAAACCAGAAAGTAACAATTTTTGTGTTGTATATTCTGATGAATCAATACAGAGAAACTTAAAAAAAATCAGTGGTTTCTGACTGAGAATTCAGAACTTTCTCCCCACTCACTAAAACACAGCATCATTCCTTTATATAATTGCTTTTATTTTCTCTCCTGCTACAGAAGATACACTCTGATGATTACCAGTAGACCATGTGTGATCCTTGCCACTGACTTGGACATAGTTTTCTTGGTTAATCCTAAACTTTCAGGATCCTGCTGTTCTCCCACCTGCTAATGGAGACAATGTCTGCAAGTGGATAATTAGGCTTACCCAAGTGGTTGAGTGAGGTTTAGCTAGGGCTAATGGTGAAATGCACTCAGAGGCGGTACCGAAATGTGCGCCAAGGTGAAAGCCGATCAAGTCCTCTGCAGGTATTCCATAATAACGCATTTCCTGGCCATGGAAAGTTTGGTCTCCTTTGCTTCCTCATGCAAAATGTGCTGCGTTCAGTGCATGGGTGACACAAGCCTCTTCAGGTCTTTCCTCTTAACAGGCAATGGAGCTGTGGAGAACCATGTACGAAAGCTCATGACAAAAAGCAGCTCAAGGTATCTTGCTGCCTTATAACGTATTTCTGCCTGTAGAGCCCAGTGCCCATCACTCTTTGAGACATGTTGTGTAAAAAAGGGTAAGGCAGTAAAAGAAAGGTAAAAGGTTGTGATTTCTGCATATACTCAAAATATATGTGGAAATGCAGAATTTCAAGTTATTTCACTTCTGAAAAGACAGTTTCCTGTCTATAACTTCCTGTAAATTTAACAAGTATTGCAGGCTCCAGTTGACTACAAAGGCATTGGGAATTACTGACCCAAACACCTTACAAAAATTCACTTTAGGTAGCTCAGGTTCTCCTATAACTGGACTTGAAATATGTATGCTGAAAGAACACACTCAGGTTTTAGCATAGCCTGTAACTATTTTGCCTCAGTCTGTAATTGTACGATGTTTCTTTGCTGGAGTGCTATCAGCCTTGCTAATCTGGCTAAACTCCAGTTAATAAACCTGCTTGCTTAAGATCAGCATTAAGTTTGATTTCTGCAGGATATTTTACATCTTATGCTCTCAGCTGCTTATTACATAGCACTTTAAAAATATTTTACCTTTCAACCCAAAGGGTCTTGGCCTTGGCCTTTCATATAAGCAATAGCTGATAGCCAGACAAATATTTAATAATCAGTTTGTTGACCACTTCAAAGTCCTCCAGGATGAAAGACATCATGTAAAGCCAGCCATCCCTACTTTATTTTACAAAAGGTATTTAACTTGTTTAAAGAGGCTGACCATCAAATTTCTGATAAAGTCATAAGGAGAAATATTTCTTATAAAATACTGCATTAATTCTAGTTGATCTTTAATTTCCAAGTAGCTCCTCAGAAACTGCACATAACTGGTTCCACATAAACAAGCAGTGACAATTTATGGTACTACTTTAGGTTATTTTAGCTCTGGCACAAGTCCTGATGCTTGTTTCTCAGCAAGAGAAACATCCTCTGTTTATTGACTTCACTGAGTATTGGGTTGGGCCCTAAATGTAAATACTCTCTCTATTCCCCATTTCCACCTCAGGAAGATCCCATGAAACCTTGTTCTTAGGTGTTGTTCATATTTGTCTTATTGATGTCGGCAGAATAAAGAAAATTCTACCTATAGCACTTGATAAACTTTCAGTTTCACTGATTGCATTTATATGGTAAATGTTTGCAGCCTTTATAAAATCTGTTTGTTGAATAATTATAAAATAATGCAAAGCAATAAAGAGAATTTTACTCTCTTTTTAATTAATTTTATTCTGTTCTGTCGGTTCTTTCTTTAATGGGCAGTCCCTTTCCTTTCTTCTATGCTAATCTTAAATTTATTTTAAGGCAATGAAGTTTAACATCACTAACTAAACAAAGTAGTTGGACAGCATATGTTAACGAGTACTGTATTCCTCAGCCCTTCAGAACAGCTCAGCCTCAAATAACACTTACATATCGTCTATGTAGAGATTAGGCCACCCTTCACCCATGTGATTTAATTCCAGCTTGCAGCTGTCCAAAATACCTGGCAGTTCCTGGGCAGAGGGAGTGCCAGGCTCAGAGCATTCCTGGGCTGACGGGGTCTGACCGTCTTCAGGCGCTGACCTCTTTGGTGGCCACAGATTTAGGCAGGGGTAAGTCAGCTGGATGCCGCTGCTGCAGAATCCACAGGGCAGACTTTTTGCTGAAGCATGCTTTTTGCTGCTGCTTGATGTTCCCAAGCAGGTGGCTGTCTCTAAATACGGCATGCGCCTTGGTGCCTCCCCGGATTAGCTCGGCACTACATCCCTAATGGAACTGGGAACAGCCGCAGAAAAGAAAAGTCTGCATTAAGCGAATCTTATGCAAAAAAATGCTACTCCTCTCCCCAAGTAAGCTATATTGCTGTGCCTGCCAGCATAGAGCTTTCCCCATGAAAGAAATGTCAGTCAGTGCAACTGAGATGCAGTCCCAAATGCCTCATGTGACCCAGTTCTAATAATAAGCTACCAGGAAAGAGGGGACAGCTCATATTAGAGGTGAGTTCAAAATAAAGACCATGAGAGCAGGTGTTCTGGGCCTCACCAAAAGTCACATTGAGCCCACTACCCTGCATCTGACTGTAGGCTTTTGATGCCTACAAAAATAAGAACACAGAAGCATGAATTATACTGCTTTCTAACACTTTCCCAGCTCCAACTGGCTGTAGCTCATGAGCTTCCAGATCTGGACAGAGTTTCTAAGTATTTGTAACCCTGAATAGATTTCTGTTCCATAAAGTTTTCCAGTTACCCCTTGAATGTTTACAGGTTTTTACCCTCTGCAGCATCCTGTGGCAAGGCGTTACTCAGCTCACCTAAACCTCCTCCTCTTGTTTCAGACCTGGCTTCTACTGACTTCATCTGATGCTCTCAGCTCTTGTGCTGGAAAATAAAATTAAGGGAAGTTTCCACCAGGATCTTACATGGCTCCCTTCAGGTGACACTGTGGTTTCATGATTGCTTTAAGCAGATTTAAGTCTGCCGTAGCTATAGCTGGGACAGCCCCTTTCACTCTGCTCTCTGTTCACAGACACACACTCGCAGGCTCCATTGAACTGGCACTAGCCCTTATGACCCACTTTGTAAGGTGGCTCAAAAGAATAAAAAAATTGGTTTTCAG